ATATATATATAAAGAGTTATATAAATTCAGATTGTATGAATACAGTACTACTGTAGTGTTAAGAGCAGAAAGTGTGTTGTAGTGGCCAGATTGTTTTTGTTTGATAGTCGTAAATTACAAAGTGTTTCCTTACAGTGATGACAGCATTGCATAGCAGAGCAAAGAAAAGGCCTCGTAGGTTAAGATCACTGTTAAAGGTTCCTGGTTTGCTCCATCTCTTTGTCCACAGTAAGCTGCCCTACGACGTGACTCCAGAGCAGGCTATGGCCCACGAGGAGGTGAGGACGAGACTAGAAGCCTCCATCAAGAACATGAAGACCATCACTGACAAGTTCCTGTCCGCCATCATCGTCTCTGTGGATAAAATACCGTACGTACTGCATCACTGTCTACTTTTTTACAGACAGTAGTCAGATAGTTTACACCAACAATATATATTATATATATATATATATTTGATATATTTCCATATTCCTGTCTCACACTCAGATACGGGATGCGTTTCGTCTCCAAAGTGCTGAAGGACACCCTCCATGAGAAGTTCCCCGACGCTACAGAGGACGAGCTGCTCAAGGTTTGCCTCTTCAATAATAATAATACATTTATGAAGCAGCTTACAAAGTGACAGACGAGGCGAGGAAATATCACAACAGAAAGCTCAACAGTGAGGCCCGACAAAAGCAAAAGACAAACTAAGGTCAACTTTTTAACCCTGATGAAACAATAAAACCAAACGTACAATAAGAACAAACTAGCAAGTAGAATAAATGAGAAACAACTAATAATACACAACAATAATAACAGTAATAAAATAAAGCAGTTAAAAGGCGACATCACATAAAAGCCAGTCTGTAAAAATGAGTTTTAAGAAGTGATTCAAAAGAGATCACGGATTCTTATCTCCTCAGGCAGGTCGTTCTAAAGCCGAGGGCCGAACAGCCAGAAGGGCCGTCAACATTTCTGCTGTATATCTCTGAGGCCAGAGCCAGACGTGCCTTTTTAAACTGAATGTGCTCCACAGTCTTTAAAGGGACAGGTCACCCCAAAACACAAAATCCATATTTGTCCTAATCCCTCTCATGCTATTAATCAATCTAGATAGTTTCAGTGTTGTTTAGAGACGTCTGCTTTCTCTCCAGTATAACAGGTCTCCATGTCACTCGGCTTGTGGTGCTCAAATTAAAAAAACCAAACATTTAAAACACTCAATAGCAACGTCTCTTTCCAGAAATCCTGACCCGGTATCTCAAGATCATCCACAGACCTTGTTCTGAGCAGTTTCACGTAAACTCTGGTTGTAGTTTAATTTCATCATAATAATTTGAAGTAAACTGCCCCGTCAGATTGTGGGGAACCTGCTGTATTACCGCTACATGAACCCGGCCATCGTGGCGCCCGACGCCTTCGACATCATCGAGGTGTCGGCGGGCGGCCAGCTGACCACGGAGCAGCGGCGGAACCTGGGCTCCATCGCCAAGATGCTGCAGCACGCCGCCTCCAATAAGATGTTCCTGGGGGACAACGCCCATCTCAATCCCATCAACGAATATCTCAGCGCCTCCTACCAGAAGTTCAGGTCCGGTGACCGACCGTTGACGCTCCTCAATCTCTGTCTTCCGTTGCTGTTTGAAGCTCTATGTCTCATCTGACTTTTCTCTTCCGTCGCAGGCGTTTCTTTCTGTCGGCGTGCGACGTTCCCTCGCTTGAGGATAAGTTCAATGTGGATCAGTACTCCGACTTGGTCACCGTCACCAAACCGGTCATCTACATCTCCATTGGAGAGATCATCAACACCCACACGGTGAGTTTGGAGCACCTGCACGTTAGCTCTTCCTGTCTCAAATCCCATGTGCGTTCCAGTCGGTCCAGTCTTAATTCCAGATGTTCCTGAGAGGTTTTGACTCCAGTGTGACTAACACACTGACTTGGATTCTTCTGTCTCCCGTTAGCTGCTGCTGGACCACCAGGACGCCATCGCTCCGGAGCACAACGACCCCATCCACGAGCTGCTGGAGGACCTGGGCGAGGTTCCCACCGTCGAGTCCCTCATCGGTGAGTGAAATGAGGCTTTTAAGTGTCAGCGAAAACAATCAGCGATACAAGAATTTAGCTCATTCATAAAAGTAACAGATGATACTGGATCTGGTATTTTGTTTATGTTGTGAGTGTCTGACCTTGCCTTAAATCAGCAGTTTACAGATGAAATGAAAGCAGTGCTGAGCCGTACGGAAATGTGTTGATTTGCATAACGCGCAAGTAGTTGGGTCCGGTCAGAGCATTCGTTCCCCCAGAGAACAAGCTGCAGCTAATTAAGAAAACCTCGTCTATGATCCTCTAAAGTGGTGCAAATATTTCAGAAAGGGACAACTGTACTTTTCTGTCCCCACCAAAGCATGAAATATCTGGATTATCAACACCAGGAACGTGTTTCTGTTGGTAGTAGGCACTTAAAATATCTTTCCGAAAGTCATTTCTGCACCGCTGCAGTTAACGTACCGTTACACCATGCGTCATCTAACGTTGTTCGGGCTGTTTTGTGATTTTTGTTTCCTTTAACTGCCGTGTATGAGTGAGGAAATGAATTAAACTAACGTTGCAGACTGTTGTTAGAGACAACAAATAATAACCTTTAATCGTCTCCAGCACTTAAATCGCCCCCTGTTGTAACCATTTTAAGTTTTAGGTCAAGTGCTTCAGTTCAGGGAAATGGTTGCTATGACACACAGTCATTAAATTCATTTATGCGTCACAGGCCCAGTATTTTGAATCTGACAGATGGTCTGATGTCTTCTTACATTTGTTTGTTTTTAAGAGAAGATGATAAAATAAAACACAAAAAAAAAACAAGACAGACAAGTTTTCTTTAATTTTTGGTTAAATGAATTGTTATATTAATGGTGAATATAGAAAATAATCTTCAGAATAATCGATGAATTAGTTTTTAGATTACTGGATTATATAAATAGCCGTTAAATGCGGCCCTAGATGAGAGCGTTCATGACCAGAAAGCACCCAATATGTTATCATCTGATCACCCGTCTCACCAGGTGAGAATCCTCTTCCTCCCAACGACCCCAACAAAGAGCTGATGGGGAAGACCGAGGTTTCTCTCACACTCACCAACAAGTTTGACCTCCCCGGCGAGGCCAATGTCGAGATGGACGCCCGCACGCTCCTGCTCAAGTAAGTTCGTACGTTTGAGATTCACGGCTGACGAGAGTAGATTTATACGGTCGTTTTTGGGAGATTCAACGGTTTCTTTGATGTTTCTTCTCAGCACCAAGAGGCTCATTGTGGACGTGATCCGGTTCCAGCCTGGAGAGACTCTGACTGAGATCCTGGACTCATCACCTGCAACCGAACAGGTCAGAAATGAGATTTGGGGGCTGATAAAGCTGCTACTGCTGATTATCCATAGTCCAGAGTTAAGCTTTAGCTACAGATGACACCGTTTCGGCTTGAAGAAGCAGACAGGATTTACTGCACGGGACAGAAACGATATGTACTGCTGTGGATAGGGGCAGCAGCAAAACGCATTTTAGCTGCCTAAATAAAAATCAATATCAGTTTAAGTGTATGCAGTATCTGGAATATTTTCACTTGTTTACTTTGCTGTGAGACAGTGGTACAAGCCGCTGTATCTATCTGTGCTCTCGCCAAAGCCACCAGACTCCATTGAAACCCCTTGGCCTATTTTTAAGGCTAAAAAACATTTTACTGACGTCATCCACAGTAGTACATTGCTTTGCTTCTGTGTGCTGAGGACCAAATACTGTAGGTAATGCACTAACTATGGATAAGTACCTCATGCGACCACTCTTTAAAAGACCTAAACTATCCCTTTAAGAACAAATCTGCTCATATGAGACATTCTTTCATGAGGCCCTTTTTTTTTTTTTTTTTAACTGAAAGTAAAAATAACTTTATCCATCTTGTTGTCCTGGATGACAGGAAGCAGAGTACCAGCGGGCCATGCAGAGGAGGGCCATCAGAGACGCCAAGACCCCAGAGAAGATGAAGCAGGTGAAGCCGGTGGTGGACGACAGCCTGACGCTGCAGGGCAAGAAGGACAAGATCAAGAGCAACCTGCAGCGGCTGGCCGAGCTGGGGAAGGTCCACCCCGAGAACCGCTACCAGGATCTCATCAACGACATCGCCAAGGTCTGCAGATCATCTGAGGACGAGGACAAATAAAACTCCTCTGTGTGTTTTACTTAAATGTAATGTGTGTGTGTGTGTGTGTGTGTGTGTGTGTGTGTGTTACAGGACATCAGAAACCAGAGACGGTATCGTCAGCGTCGGAAAGCTGAGCTGGTGAGGCTTCAGCAGACCAACGTCGCCCTGAATTCAAAGACCAATTTTTTCAATGTTCAGATTGACTCGTACAATCAGTACATCAAGACGTGCATGGACAACCTGGCCAGCAAGGGCAAGTGAGTGGCCTTTCATCTCATTCAACAGTTTCAATTTGTCATTTTGTGGTTCAGATTGAGCCGTCGTACTCTCACAACAATCACCACTGAGACGTGTACCGTAGTTCTCACCGTTATAAATCAGATTTTATTCATGTTTGGCTGCCTGTCTACCTTTTTAAAATGAGTCATATAGGATTCCTGTTTGAACGCCAAACAAGCCACATGTGTGCATGTTTAAACTGCTGACAGAAGCCTGAGCTGTTAGCAGAGCTACACTGGGATCTGTATGCAGCACGAGACAGGAATCAGCTGGGGTCGGAGTCTCAGACAGAATAAGTGTGGCCCGTGAAAACAACAGAAAAGAAAAAAACGATTACAATATTTGAGACCAATGCACGTGAGACAATAAAAGTAATTAAACAGATTATAAGCTATTTTAACAGTAATAGTAGTAATACATTGTGAGTTAAAAACTACTTTAAAAAAACTTAAATACAATATAAAGTGAGTGATTAATCAAATAATAACATAATTAAATAATAATACATTTCTGAATTGTGCCAAACATTCGAACTGTGTGACCTGTAACCGGCAGTTACAGTGTTGATCCTCAGAATCCTGCTGCTTTTGATTTTGGACTTCTAATCAGCGGCTGTTTTGTTCCTAGAGTGCAAAATCCAATTAAGCACAGCTGCTGCCTGGTTTGATAGAAAACCAGTAACTGAGGGAACCAAGGACCAGAATCTGAACCACCAGAGTTAAGATGTTTGTTAGACAGAGGAAATCTGTCTTGCTTTGTTATAAATGCATCTAGTTGAAAGTATATTTATCATAAAGCTGTAGTGTTTACTCGGCTGAACAACAGAATACATGGTTTGCTCTTGTTTTCCTGAATGTCAAATACGACCCCGTTCTCCTCTGATGATCATCTTCCGAACATGTCGAACACACTTCAAGAACCGTTCCTTCTCTGCGCTAAGAGACGGTTTCATGTTGTACCGTGCGCTTGTCTTTCTTCTCAGGTTGTCAAAGAAACTGGGCGACAACAAGGCCAAGAAGGGTAAGCAGGTTTCTCAGAAGTACACCGCCTCCCGCCTCCACGAGAAGGGCGTGCTGATCGCGATAGAGGATCTGCAGCCCAACCAGTGAGTTCTGCTGTGTTTAAAGGAATACTTCATCCACACAATGATCATCTGTGTATCAATTATTCACCCTGCGTTCTCTGGAATTCTTCAAGAAAACTTAGACGCTAACGGCTAACAAACGAAGGTTCTGTTCAATTACATTGTGATGCATTCAGGCTCTGTTCAGTGAAGAGGAGTATTGGGCAACGGTAAATTAAAACGTAGTCATGACGTGTTCACATGTAATCTGGCAAACTGTAGTTTCGATAAGAAACATGAATAAATCCAGCAGTTTGAAGGAGATGTTTTCGCATTCATATAAAATAGATATTACTGATGAATTATGAGCAGATTATATTGCATCATTAAAACTACTAATGACGAGATTTGTTTTAATCTATGAAATTACAATCTTTTATTTCCTTATCTTTTGAATTTTGTGTTTTTATAAAGAGAAGAACGCCATCGAGGACTTTAACAAACTTAAAGGATAACATTTCGAATTGTTGATGGTTTACAGACTTCAGAGCATTGACGTGTTTTTTAAATATTCTGGATCCTTGTAGACCAGCTGCTATAATCAAACAATAAACGGATCTGTATCCGTTAATATGGATCATCAATGATCGGCAATTACGTTCTTATTTTATGCAACGTTAAATATCAAAACGTGACATTTCTAACTCCATCTCAAACGTCTGACTTTGTCTTTTGTGAAAGACAATTTGTTCACTTTGTTATCAGCAGTTAGTAGTTAACTTCATGAAGATTGATCCGTTTCCTTGTCGTGTACTTTTCTCTCTTCACAGGTTCAAGAATGCCATTTTTGAGATTTCTCCGTCGGAGACTGTCGGAGTGTTTGAGGTGAAGGCCAAGTTCATGGGCGTGCACTTGGAGACATTACAGTTAGAATATCAGGTATTGTTTCTTTTTCATAACTTTATTTTTTTCCTTCACTAAAGTAAACTAGAGATGTTCCGATAAAAAAATGATTCCAATACCTAAACGTGCATCAGTATAGATCCGATGTCAGTGCGCTAAACACAAAAATATGTATATTATTATGTTTTTACAGATGTGTACATCTGAAGCTGTATGTCCAGACTCGGGTTAAACCCTGTTTAAAACACAAACATACAGAAAATGAAAGCTGCAGAACCATAGAGATAGTACAGCAGTCAACATTCTCTTTCAAATCAATGTATGATAATAGCTAACAAGTTAGCTATTTAGCTAGCTAACTAGCAGGCAGCTAACTAGTTAGCTAGCTAGCTATTTCCACCACGCTTTAATGGTTACAGAGGGGCTGGTGTTCAGTAGCAGCGCTACGTCTAACGCCGTTTTCTCAGTTGCCATCTTGGATTATGACTGTGGCCATGTTGTTTATTTCTCAACCGATGAACGGAAGTTACCATATTTGAATATCGAGGAGTGACGTAGAGACGCCGTATACGTCTCTAGTAGAGACCTGTCAATCACTGTGTAGCCCGCCCTAAAGCATCCCCTGCTTTATGGTCTGTGTGACTC